ATTTCTTTTTAGAGGAGTTGGAGAAGTTTCAAATACAGAAAATTAAGCACCAAGTATTATAGCTCAGAGGTATCGCAATGTGATGAAAGGTCTCCAACCTATCTGTATCCTGACAGGCATAACACCCAGTGAGGGAAGGGCTCTTTCAAGCCCCGATTATACTCAAAATAGGATGAGATGGGAACTGTATCTCATCAGCCCCATCTTGGCTAGTTGTCTGGAAGGAAAGTTCAATCTCTATTCATACCTGTAACGTAAGGAATTATATTTCTCTTATGTAGTCTTGAAATGTGTGACAAGGAACCAGCTATTGTTTCTCTTTCTGCTCTATGGGCTGGTCCTTCTCTGTAGCAGCTGGAGTTATTTTCAGGAACGGCCTTAAGCAGAGAGAGAACAAGGTTCCTCACAGTACCAGGGCCTAAGCAACAACCCAAAATCACACCGTGGTAAGAAAAGGGTTAACTCTTGAAGTGCCAAAGTGGTTTTTCACCTGAAATACAATTGCAGGTTACCCCCCCACACACACTGTTTATAAGCACATCAAGCACAATAGCAATGAAATTTTAAAAATTGCTCTGAATTTGACCTTCCTCTAATTTTGATTTTTACCAAGTATTTGAAACAATTTGGCATGATTAAAAATTAATAGTGGAATACTAAGTAGCTGAAACGAACAAACCTTCTAACTCCCATCAAACTCGACTGCGTAATTCCCACAGGTGCCTTTGAAAATCCCTATTTTGAATGTTGCTGTCCATTGGGTAAACAGTTCAAACATCACTGGCTTCCTACACAAACATCATCTGCCTGCAATAATTTATGAAAATCATAAAATTGATTTAAGCTCTTCTCAGTGCTCCATAAATTTTATGCAGCCCTTAAATTATAAAACTGCTGCTGCTGCTGCTGCGGCACCGATCAGAACAATGCTTCACCTCTTCTCTCGAGATAGCTGGCATGTCAGAGGAGACGGGAAGAGACTCGGGCAGCTGAACTGTTTGTTTCAATTTAACAGGGCAGAATAAAACAGCCTAGATGCCAGGGCTCTAGTCCCACTGAGACTCTGCGCATCAAATTTTTATTGCCAAAATAGTTGCTCTAACCTTCCCCTGCCTTTCCTTGGTTTTAAACCAGAAAATAACTTTCATTGATTTCATAAGGATGCTTTTTTTTTGCACACATCATCAGACTTGTGATACTTGAGATGTTCCCCTTCTAATTTATAATCAGTGTGTTCCTGCTCTCAGATACATGACAAGCAAAATGCTGCATCTCCCCAATTACACGTCGGCGCAAAAAAAGCTCTGCAAACCTCACTACATCCTTATCAGACAGTCTCCCTCTCAGCCCAAAGCTGTACCAGAACAAATGTAGGCTTTTAGCTTTTGCTAAAATTAGAGTTTTTAGGAGTGTTTGATTTTTTTTTCTTTACCTTCTTTGGCAAAGATTAAAACCATTGTTTTTGGCACAGAATCTAACACAAGGTGAAATTAAAGGCCTAGGATAGAGAAACTGTGTTTGAATGGGCTTCTTTACTCTTGAATTTGGCCTAGTCACGTATTAAAACTGCAGATTGCTTCGGCTTTATTGAGATTTCGGTTTGTGCTAGCTAACTCAGATTAAGAGCATCCTTGTTTTTCTGGTGAAGTCTCATCTGGAGTGGCCCAGTTTTCAAAGGCAAAGTGCTCAGAACATTATTAGAATCACTCTTTTTCGGTCTTTCATCCTGGGCATCCAAAGTCAGCGGCTGCTATAGTCTTTTTCTTAGCGCTGACACTTCCCAGCTCTTTCCACTCTCCTGATAATGTTTCCTAGCCTGTCATTCAGACAGTCGTCATTTTTAAGGGATGCGTTCTCAACCTTTCTATCCTCACGCTTTTCTCCCACATAACCCTTTGAGTTTCATTCTTCCTCGTGCGCTGTGTTTTTGCTCAGAGGTGTACAAACCATCTGTGCCTCTAATACAATGTTCTTAAATAGCCTCCAGGCAGATCTCTGTGGTTTTTAAGTACTTCTCTTTGCCCTTCAGCCTGCTGTTAACCATTTTCCTCATAGTTTTATAATCTGCCCTTTTAAAGTTTGTTGTTACTATGTCGTCCCTAAGGGAGCAACTCTTTTATGATATCAAAACTAAAAGCGTGCAGTGATCACCGTTACCCCACGGAGGCTTGACAACACCTTCCTCTAATAACTTCTGCCTATTACAAGGTAGCTCCCTCTTGCCCATGGCCTTAATTAATCAGGCATTGCACTGAGGACTGCCACGGGAGTCACGGAAAAGGAATCCTTTGCCATATGGATTGGAATGGCACCAAAGCCACTTTACATCTCCTGACAGAGGAAAAACTGCTTTTGCCAGCTGTTGCTTTACCTCCAACAAAAAATAAGACGTGATAGCAGGGTAAACACTATCAAATTCAATCTTGTGTAATTTTCCTGACTGGACTCATCCATTTTCCCCAGGAGGAAGTTACTTCCCCGGGGCTGGCTCTGAGATTTTGTAGGTTCTCAAAATCTTGAGGAAGTCTACCAGAGGTTGCAGTCACTCACGTAAAACCCTGTGGTGTTTCTCCCCTGGTTTTACTGGCTACCCTTGTGACTGCTGCCTCTGGAATGCTCTCAAGGGAGCTGGGTGGAAGGGGAGGTCTATGACATGAAAAATCTCTTCGCAGATTAACACCTTGCCCTAGGAATGGGAATAAAGGGATGATACTGAAGAGGCAGTTGATACACCAGCCTTTCTGTTTGCTGAAAGCACAAAGGATTGATTTATGGCATCTTGCCACGGGAGAGGGCTATAGGTTATTAACGAACTTCAATGGACAAACACTTGCTGAGACTGCATATCATACCTCTTGTGCTGTACCAAAGGTAATGACTCATCCTCAGGCGGGCCTGATGTCCTTGAGAATGCAATTGGCTCTACACAGCCAAGTGAAGCGTTGCTTAGTTAACGCACTACAGCACGAGGGAAACAATCAGCTGAAACGATGACATTACTACTTCCTGCTTCATTATAAAACTGCAGCTTCCTAACAGGATTATACACTGAAGCACTGTAAAAAAAGACATTAAGTCCTGCGTTGAAACTTAAAAAAATGTGTAATTAAACCAGCTAAATACAGGCTTCTTGGGTTCAGTGCCTGCAAAACACAGCCTTTGATCCTCCAAACGATATTTCCTGGAAAAACCCCGGACACAAAAACTATCAGAATAAAATTCTGTCTCATCCCTTCCTGTTTAGGCCAATGAAACGACCATTTGCGGCCCAACAAATTTTTTATTTGAGAAAAATTAACCTTATCAGACAGGCTAGAAATATAACCAAGGGTAGGAACTCCTGGACCACCCACCATATGTCCATTTTCTTGCTCATTCTGTCCCATGTCTTTGCAATTTCTACCCCAATAACGCAGCATTCTTGATGACTCCCTTTGCTTCCTATCATTTAGAGAAAGACCCCATTTCTTCAAAAGAAAGACAAGTGATAGAGCATCTCACTTTTCCTGATGACATCCAAACACCTTTGCAACATAAAAAGCCTCCACTATAAGCATCCATTGATGCAACACTACTACAGTTCACCAGGTTTGTTCCAGCTTACTGCTTAGCTAAGAAGAGCAAGAACACCACCATCAATAAATGTTTTGGAGTCTTAATGAACTGGAAATTTTCAAAGATTGTATTAATAAAGACTGTACAAGATTCCCATATTAAGTAACAGGCCACAGCTACTTTCACCTTGCACCTCCAGAGGGCTGCTCTCACACTTACGTGAGCAAGCTCCACAAGAAAAACAATACATACATATACATTCCCCTCTGCAGGAGAGGGAAAGGACTGGGGATGGGGGCAGCGAAGACAGAGAAAGAGAAAGCCAGGAAAATTGTCCATTCCAGTCCTAGTCCCACATTCCATGTGCTCACTTTGGCTTCCCCTTTATTAGAAAGTTCTTGCGATTACTATTTTTCCATGAGCCATTGCTTAAGGCAGGTGATTGCTTGAGACAGTTTCACATTTCCTTCCAAAATGAACAAGTAATTGTTCTCTTTAGTCACAGGTTTCATGGGGAGCTGATGGCGTGTGTAATTTTCCCAGTGTGTCACATTAAGAACACTGACTTTTCACATGACTACTTGACTAAAATGCTTTTGTGCATCACTCACACCTCTTAATAAATACATCCAATTAGTTATTGTTAGGTGAACTGGGAGTGAAATACAATGAATACAAAGGTCTCCTCCTGGTCAGAGCACTACCAATCACAGTCAGAATAAAGGAAAGAAACTGGGTTTCTGTATCCACCTTTCTTTCCCCTGCTGTGTTGCCTGAAGAACAACATGCCTTTCATCGTATTATTTCCAAGTGAACCCAAATAATTTATTTGCATTCCAGACATCTGTCATGAAGTTGTAGGGCAAGGAGCATGATTAAGCAAAAGTACTGCACCCGATATTTTGAGGTAACCCTCTTCTTACTGGACTTCAGTCTCACAAGTCTTTCACTAGAAATATTAATTTTTGTTTAAATTACTAACCAGATTCAAACACGACCTCAATCTTATTTTCAACATGCCAAATCAGCTGCTTATATGAGAGGCCCTCTCTAATTTTAGGGTAAATCCAAATTCCCTCTGATCCTTGGCAAACATTTATCTCTCTCTTGATAGCCATGTCTCCTAACCTGCCTCACAGCTAAAGTGAAGAGCTTTCAGGCTGTGCAAGAAAAATGTAAGCAAGTATATTTTTGTGCTGATGAACAGAACCAGAAAAGCAGTCAATGGCTAATTCATTCTTTCAGATGAATCTCAGCAAGTCAGAGTATTTACCCAGTTGTTGAAATATGCCCAAATATTCCTTCAGTATACTGTAACGCTACAAGATTTCTCATGGGGGTGTGTATATATCTATTTTAAATGGATTCAAACAAGTTTTAAGTATACAAAATAAATGACAATATTAATTCCTGGGAACCTTTGATTCTGTATTTCTTCTTCTTGTGTTTTATTTTCTTTTTTATATATGCAGAATACAGACAAATTATGTATTTACAAATGTAACATGTCCTCATGGGAATAATCAGGTTGTCACACTGCACCTCTAACATCAGACCAGTGCTAGAACATGACTTCAATATCCATTTATAGGTCTGGTTTTAATTTTCTGAGAGGGCAACAGATCTATTTGTTTTCAAAATCAGGGTAACATGCACTCACACAATTAGTGTGAAGTAGTATGCAAACTTGCATCTGATCTCATGCTGCAGGAAGCTGGTATGTACAGAGACAGGTAGCAGTCATAAGAGGCTTCATTATCAAGTGACACCCCCCCCCCCCCCCTTTTATGCACTGAAATATTCATTAAAATATCTTTAGACCACTTACAGAAAACATAATTTATTGTTTAATACCAGATTAACAAATTAAACCAGCTGTTTCACACAGCAACTTCAAATTTGCTCCTCAATGAAGCTTTACAGCCCAAATAATTTTGAATGTCCTGTCATGCAGCAGCAGAACTGGTTGCATTGCCTTACACCCTCTAATTCTGCAGCAGTCTCAGGTCTTACTTAAATATGGTTACAGAACACACCATACTTCCAAATAATTTCAGTCATTAGTCCCATTTCCACCACCTTGTTCTCCCCAATTCCATCAGCTCTCACATTGTTATTTTGAATTTCAGCACATCCTGTTACATAAATGGTACAGAAATGGTCACTTTCAGTGTACTGTACATGGACAGCTGAAAAATTTTAAAACTTCGTATCACGGCTATAACATTTCTTGACTTAAATTTCCTGTTTACCATTTCCTACTTGAAGAAAACCAAAATATGCTTTTCCACGGCTTAAAGATTAAACGAATTTTTTAAATAAGCTGTTTGAGATCCCAAATAGTTATGAACACATATGTAGCCAACTGAAACAAATATACTTCAAAAAACACCCACCACTAAACCACTGAGTCCATCAGTGTGAAAACCAAAGTGCACAACCTCCAAGGGTTTCAGCATCTTTCTTTTGCATTAGTTGATACCATCAACTACAGTCACTTTTTTCATACCTTGCTAGCACCATCAATTCAAATGAATTTGATGCTTCTTAGACTGCATTCACCAAAGACAGGACTAAGACTACATGATTTTAGCAACTGCAGGCTCACTTACTGCAAGGACTCTGCAAAGAGCTAATCTGCCAAACCACACATGCAAAAGTTAGTGCAAACTTTTGTTAAGCTATGAGAGAGAAAACTTCAGTCTCTGTTCCACAGCAATGAAGTCTCTCTCTTTTGAATCTCAAGTCAACAATAACAGATAAAAACGACACAACTGTCAACTAAGGCCATTAAATAGAGAGGAAATACATTTTTAGTAATGGAGGACATTTTAAAATTTATTGACTGGAAATTTATATCAGCTGGATATGTACAGGTATATTTTGCTGCTCATTTGTGACCTCAAATAGCTTTTACATACAGGGTTAAATTCTCTTTTAAAATAAAGACATGACATACTGTTCATACAGTTCCATCTGAACAGCCAAGACTCAGCTCTGGCTAGTTTTATGTTATGTCTCTCTAGCTGGACTGTAACAAAATAAAAGAAGACTCAGATACCATGCTTCAGTTTCTACAAAAACACTCAATAGTACTCAAATCCCTAGAAGTAAAGTAAGTAAAATATAAAAAAGTACAACTCCTAATCATCATTTTCCTCATCATCAAATGAGAGAAGACTGCTGTTTTTTATTTGTTTAGCTGTACTTTGAGGAGTAGTTGCTTCTCTCTTAGTTTTCTTTGCCTCTTTCATCTTCTTACTTGAACTTACATTGAAGTCCAAAAAGTTCTCTGATGAACGCTTGGCTGGTTTCCTGAACATAATTTTTCCATCAGCAGGTTCTGGTTCACCATCTGTAACGAAGAGAGTAAAAGCAGAGCTCATCTGCACATGTTCATATACACATACGGACCTTCACTATTACCTTTTCTTTTACCCCAAGACCAAGATCAGTGAGACCTCTGACAGAGTACGATGATCATGAAAATGTATTTTTTGGCCACAAAGTCTGTATCGACAAATGTCCTTCATGCATGCACAGCTGCTCCAAGGAAACCAGCCCCTGAACTGCAGTTCTCCTGCAGTTCCTATTAGAAATGGGTTCTCACTAACAAGAGCTTTAACTTAAGACTGCGAGCAGCAGAGCTTTTCCCACACAATCCTGCCGTATTCAGTTATCCAAACGGAGGGACAACTTTATAGGATCCTCTAATTCCACTTTACTGTTTGTAAAATCCATGACAACAAATGCATTTATTACAGAATTATGGTATCTCTTTTAAAGAACAAAATGTCACATCAACAAGACAAAGCTTTTCTTTTTCTTCTAATATACTCCCTTCTGCTGAGACAGCTAAAAACACTACATGGTCATAAACCTGCCTTTTATTATCATGTGGGATGAAAGTTTTAGGGTTTCTTTGTATCTGCAAAATCACCAAACTATTCCAACTGACTAATTCTGCTCCCCCGCACGTACTAGAGCAAATAACAATTTTAAAAACAAGAGAACTCCCTTCCAGGATTATCAGGCAGAGGGGAAAACTACTGCACAAGTAACAGCATCAAGGCAGTATTTCTGGAAAAAAAAGCATAATTGTAAAGTCATGAATCAGACACAAAGGCTCATGCTGCAGTAGTTTGTGATTTTTATAATGTGTACGTGACAGTATAGAGTTAAAGAACCATAGGTAATTCAACAGAAATTTCCTAGTAATATGCATGTGTTTGACAAGATTATGTGCTGTTCAGTTATAACCGATAAATATCGTTTGTCTTTAGCATGAATTCTTTCCTCAATTCATAAGCATTATGGCAGAAGACAACATTTCAGTGTTATCGTGCACAGCCCTAGCTGAAACACTCTTCAGTGCATACTCCAAACGATATAACTATTAAATCTGGTGTCTTAACGGTTGTGTGGTACAAATTAAGATCATCAACCTCATTAGGAAACTTCAGTTATAATTCCTTACATTTCACAGACCCTGTTTATGAAGACTTAAAAAACTTAAAGCACCAGTTCTGTCAATTACTTCTACAGAATGCACACTTCTGCAGTAGTTTATGAGAGAATACTATTATGCAGAAAATAACCAACTAGGTTTTAGGAAAATATTTCAGTACTGGTGCATTAGAACAGCATTACAGTTACAAGGAATTACCAGCAATAATAAACTGTAGATATGATAAGCATACCTGTCTATGGATTCATTGTGAATTCTGCATGGAAAGCTTAGGTGTTTAGATGCGGTACATGGGATACAGAAGTTTAGGAAGTGCTTATGATAAATTCTGGCAGAGAAAAATAACAAATAAAATAAAAAATTTCTGAAAACATATCACACTCAACCAATCAAAATGCACTATGTACCTTTTTCTCATAAGTTGGATTAAAAATTCAAAATCTTTTTCATGTAACTGCCTCCATTTTGGGGCTCTGAAGTCAAATATAAAATAATTCCCCTTACTAATTGTTGGTTAACTACAATCTTTATTTGGAAACCCAGATCTTCTAACTTAAACACGATCTGAGGCACATGATATAAGCCAAATTCTGGAAAAAAAAAAAAGTCTATAAGAAAAATTTCACTTATAAGCAGACCCAACTGTCTATATACTTGAGCCAGTCAGCACACAGACTGTAGACAGCACCAGTACAGCTGTGGAAATACGACTTCAAAGCAATCAACTACTGCATAAGCACAAGGAGCATCAAAAAATCTCATTGGACACCCTTTTAAAGAGCAATTACTACATTTTCTCAGAATGGTAAATTAAAAATCAAACCCCTAAAAACCTAATGAAAGCATACCAACAAAATAAATCAGAAAAAGAACTATGTATTCATACTCCATGTAAAAATGGAAGTCAGAAATTTAAATTCTACCCCCAAATCTCCTGCCACCCACATTATGAGCTGCACAGAATCGTTTCATCTTGTCTACCAGATGGAGAAACTGATCGTTATCTTTGCAATACGAATTTAAATTCTTAATAAGCAGAGTGCATAAACAGAGCAAAGCTCCAAAACTCCACCAAAATGGCAACTAGCTTGGCTCTGACCTCCAGGGCCTTGATACTATTTGCAGATCATTCTGCATCAAAGGAAAAGATTTTAGCTCTTGGCCTGCTTAAACACTGTCAAAATTTCATTATATGCTCAAG